TCTCTCTCTCTCTCTCTCTCTCTCTCTCTCTCTCTCTCTCTCTCTCTCTCTCTCTCTCTCTCTCTCTCTCTCTCTCTCTCTCTCTCAACCAGTCGCCTCTGCGTGTGGGCATATCCATGATTGTGCATACCAGCTTTGTTGGTACAACCACAATTTGAGGGCCCCCAAATTATGGGCCTAATGGAGCTGTTGGGCAGGGCACACCTAAAATGTGGCGATGGGAGAAGTACCTTACAACACAAAGTTAGGTGGGGCCCAGGTCACAACGAAAATTCGGGCCTTTTCAAAGGCACAACGCAATTTTCACGGCGAAATTGCAGATAGCGTACTTCTACCAGATACCAGATAAGTCTCTAAATGCGTGCGCGCACCTGCCAATGTCACAGGGGGCAATGTCACAGGGGGTCGTGCTCCACTTGGGGAGGTTAGTCCTGGTTTGAAGTATGCACGCATCCCTGTCATCCGATCTCGAACTCTCAAGGCCTTAGGTAGGGACCCCACAGGCTTGCGAATTTCGCCGCCATCGACCGCCAAGTACTTTCGCGGACCCCACTGGTCGTAGAAAGTGGCCTGGAATCGTAAGCGAGGGCGTTTCCACTCAGCCCGCGGAGTCGTCACGCTTATGTGGACCTTGATTTTCTGCGAAAAACTGCCCACCGGGAAGACGAGCCCTCGGGGACCTCCTCCGTCGCCAGCGGGGAGCGGCTCGGGCTTGGCCAAACGGTCCACACGAATGAACCAGCGGACAACGTCGTGGTCCAAATGGGAGTACCGCTTTCGATGGCTGTGGGGAGACCGTGTCGCACGCCATACCGTTTTCTGTCCGTTGGGGTTGGGCAACCGGGAAAGGCTTGTGCACCCCAAATTCGAATTTGAAAAGTTGCACCAAAGGGTGGACTATTCGGCTCAATTTTTTTGTGGCCTGTTCACGTCCGTTGCCCTTTGCCCCCATTGCCCTGTTACGTTGTTGCCATGCACATCTGCATGCGACCTCTGCGTGGCTCGGCTGCGTAGGTATGGAGGCTTGCGGGCTCAAGTTCCCCCCGTGTGGAGGGTCTATTTGGAACGTTCGGGTCGGGATGTCGACGGGCTTCGTGGGGTGCTTGCAGCCAGAGCCCTGTCGTTTGCGGTAGAGATTGTGATCCCTGACAACATTGCGCACGCTACGAACTACGTGAGGCGAGTTGTCGGCGAGCGGTTGCTGGCTCCCATGGTTGTGCGGCCATCTCCATCCGCTTCATGTGGTGGGGTACACGGCAGTGTCGGCATCCCGGGAGGTAGACTTTCAGACGTTGTGGCACATCTCCGATTCCGGGAAGGAGGAGCGATCCAGGGAAGCTGTTCCTTGCCTTCCACGCGTGCGATGTTCGTTTCCCCGACGCCGGTGCACAGCCGTCACCAAAGCGAGCGAGAGTCGGGGTGTTCGTGTTGTCCTTGTTGGTGTGCACGCAGACGCTTGCCCCCATCCTTGTCTGATGCCCTTCCACCGAATCGGCGTTACAGTGCATCTCCATCAACGTTGCTTGTAGCTTTTGTGTTCGTTGTTGTCGGTGTGTTCGTCGCCATCTTCCTGACGTTCGTGGTTGTTGTTGTGCTCATACTGGCTGCCCTGTGTGTCCTTCTGCGTCGTAAGCGGAGGTGAAGCCCGTGGTGGTAGCCTTGTCCGAAGTGACAACATCATGGATGGCCACGGATGGGCGTCGGACACGCCCGTGTCGGGAGGGCAAGATAGCCGGTTTCCGAGGTACATGGGGAACGAGAACCTCGGTTTCGAAGCCGAGCTCTCCCCGGGACTGTCTTCTATGACATCGGACCCCGAGAACTGGATTAGTCCTGGCCCGCAGACATCCATGCACAGTCGCTTCCCGGGCACGTACACATCCGGCATGGACGGCTCGAGGAGACTTGTCACGGACCCTGCTCCACGTGCTCATCCTTTAGCTTCGCCAGCGGTGGGTGGAGCTGCATGTGGTTTCGTTCACACAATGTGTATCCAGGGCGGTCCTCGTCCTCAAGCCTTCCAAGGCGCCTACTTTATGCCTCCCCCGGCTCCCGCGTGTATGCTGCCGCCTTCGGTCGACCGCTTACAGACCGCCGCTGTGGAGAGGGCGTGGTCGAACGTCCGCAAGGTTGGGGGTGGTGTCGTCGAAAATGTGGGAGGGGTGTGGCAGGTCGTCGATGCGCCCCCTTCACCTATGGATCAAGGTGAAAGGGATGACCGACGCGGGGGTGAGGACGCACGTCCGACGGTAGCGGATGCTCATGTAGGACAACAAGGCTCGTCAAGCAGGAATGGCAATCGCGGTGGACGTGTGGCGGAGAGTGCCAGTGACGTGGACACAGGTGACGACACTGCACGGGCGGATGGAGGCGGTGCACCTGCGAAGAGGCGAACCAGGCCATGGCCGCTCGAGGAACGCCTCAATCTAGCGAGGTTCATGAAGGAAGATAATGCAATGATGACAATGGCGTTTGGTCGACTGAAGCACGCCAGACGGTCGGTGAGGAATGAGTGGGTGTCAAGGAAGATGAGGGAGGCTGGGTGGATAAGGTCCGCGGAGGACTGCAGGAAGAAGTGGTCTGACCTCATGGGCAAGATGAAGGACATCCTGCACAAGTGCAATGCATCAGGGAAGCCGTCGTATTGGGACATGAGCATTGAAGACAGGAAGAAGGAGGGAATCCCGACGACGTTTGAGCAGCCGCTGTGGGAGGAGATGGAGTGGGTGCACAGAAAGCCATTTGTCACCTGTGACAACACCATGGCATCATAGAACTGCCAGGGTGCTGAAAGCGGAAAGGCAATGGCTCTTCATAAGGCCGGGGCCGGAGCAGTGAGAGCACCGAAGAAGACGACCGCTTGCGTAAGAAACGGCGTGGGGCGACAGGAAAAGAGCGCGTTCGTGACCGCCCGCCGGTGCTGACTGTGGAGAGGGCTCTGCTAGATTCCAGCATGGTGGTGGATGAAGGGATGGAGAAGGCACGCAGCTGGTGGCGGCCCAGGTCGGCGTTGTCGCCAGTGCCATAAAGGAAGGAAACACCGTGCTGCAGATGTTGGTCGGCGTCATGGCTGACCGGCGGTGAAACGGGAATGGCAATCGGGAAGGAGAACATGGGGACAGCAGCCCCTCCACCTGGTGAAACTTCAGTCGGTGACGACAACAACGCACGTTGGCCGACGACATTTGGAGAAGGATAGAAAAAGGGGGGGGGGGGGAAGTTCAACTAGTAACAAAAAAAGGGAAAAAAAAGGAAAAAAAAGATTGTGAAAGAAACAAGGGAACGGAGCGATGGAGGCACCATGACACGATCCGAGGGGGGTCGTTTCATGGTGCCTCCTTCGCTATGTTCCCTTTTTTCTTTCTCAATTTTTTTTCCTTTTTTCCCTTTTTTTGTTTGTTGAATTTTATTTTTCCTTTGCATGTCACGTCATGCACTTCCTCTTGTTGTCGACCGAGGACATTCTGACCGTCGTGACTGTTCGGACAGGTCACCGACTGTACTGTCCTCATTCGCACGATGATCTGCCAAAATGTCATTTCGGACGGGCAGATCTTTCGCAGCAACTGGGGGTCTCCGTCTCTTCCTACCCTCCGCGCGTCTTCTCAGACCCTGTCAGGATTCTGCCAGGAAATGGCAGTCGGAGAGAGAGAGAGAGAGAGAG